CTCATCCCTACGCCCTGGACCCCACCTCCCTCTATATAGTGCTGCGCGACAGAGGTCCACCAACCTTCTTTTGGTTGGATGCCCCCGATCAGAACACTGGATCAAGGTTCAACTCGACCGTTGGGCCGAGTCGGATAAGATCAACAGTAACATCAGCATCTTCCTAGTTCCTGCTAATCCCTGGTCAGTGAAAAGCGAGATGCCTTTTCCCTGCTGGCCAATGAGCCTGCTTGTGTAGTGGTTGCTTCTGACTGCAGTACGTAGCAGCACGTTTGTTTACCATCAACAAAGCTACTAGTGGCATGTTTTTGTCAGCAGTGTACTCCTACTTGCAATTTGCATGCATCAGCTTGTTACAGCATCACCATTTGCACTACTACTAGAAAAAACAGCATCACTGCAGGCTAAATCGGAGACGTGTTGCTGTGTCAGTGATCTACATACACATCACCGGATCTGCCGTGCTGACTTTTTCTTTTCTTTTATTTTTTGTTCTTGATTGGCGAAGCAAATTCTGACTGTGGGTTTTATGCGCGCCGAGTTTAGGTGTGTTTGTTTCTCCTTCTAAACTTTAGTCCCTGTTTTATCAAATGTTTGACACATACATAGAATATTAAATATCGATTAATTATGAAACTAATTACACAGCTTGCGATTAATTGACGAGATGAATCTTTTAAGCCTAATTAGGCAATGATTTAACAATGTAGTGCTACAGTAAATATGTGCCGGTGACAGGTTAATTAGGCTTAATAAATTCATCTCGTGGAGTACTGACAAATTCTGTAATTTATTTTTTTTATTAGTATCCAAATATCCCATATGACACCCTCACGTGACACCTCCTAAGTTTTAGTCGTCGGATTCAAACATCCCCATAGAAGATAGATGTCAGATGTCAAAGAACTAGCACAAGATTCTTGGTTCTGAACTAGTAGCCAATATATACATTTGTATAAGTACACTCTTCGGTGCCAGATGCTGGTTCATGTTATATGGTTTTAGCGTTCACGATCTGCACTACTATATAGACGGAATTCGCAATGCTTAGCCGCGGTCAAAAACAACTTCTACAGAGGATTCGCAACCACATCTATGCAGGAACATCAATCAAGAAATGAAGCAGAGGTGCGGAACCGTCTAAGGACAGACCATAAGATCAACCTTCCGCATAAATGATTTCTCCAAAACAATTTATGTACCGTACTCCCTATACAAGGTTACCTAGAAACAAAGCATTCGTAGAAGCGGATGCATATATAATTACGGATTTGCTAGCGTCTAGACTCTGTTCCAGAGCGCTAGCGTTGGACGGTGCCGCGCGCGTAAGAAGTGGAGCCCATGCTGCTTGTTTTCACGTGCCCCACCGTGTGGACCCCACGCTGCTTCCCGCACTACCATTGCACTCGCTCTGCTTCGCTTGACCGCCACGCGCACCCACGCTGCACGCGGGAACGCCACGTGGGTCCCAGTCACCTGCCCCGCCTATGGATGCACGTCGCGGATGCATTTGCCGGCCTCAAGCACCCACACGGTGACCCATGGCTGCGCCCAAGCGGCTGTGGTGGGTCCCATTGCAACATGTGCAACATCGGATCTATTTTTTTAACATCGAGATAAAACACTTGCAACATACGTCTAAAACAGTTGAAACACTTGCAATATGCGTCTGAAACACGTGCAAAACACCGAAAAAACTTGAAAACACATGTGTAGCCATTGCAAACGTGTGCAACATCCAGATAAAACACTTGCAACATATGCATGAAACACTTGAAACATACGCTTACAACATGCATGTATATGCAACACCCAGATCTACTTTTGCAACAACCAGATAAAACTATTGCAACATACGTTTGAAAACAGATTTTGAACAAACTCTTGCAACTTACGTGTATAGCCATCGCAACATTTGAAACATCCCAATCTACTTTTGCAATATCCATATGAAATACTTGCAATATACCTTTAAAACATCTGAGGCACTTGAAACATATGTTTGCAACATGTGCTTTCAACACAACATCTTCTTGCTGCTTGGGAGAATGGAGGCTCGTCGGCATGTGGAGTTTATTGGAGTACAGCTCGTCGGTGTGCGCGGAGCTCGCCGCTCTGGTAAGGAAGGCCATGACAGGTCCGATGTAGAAGAAGCTCTGGTGGAGAAGGCCACGGCTGATCTGGCGCGAGCTGTCACCACTCCGATGGAGAAGGTAATCCACACGCTAGAGAAGCCCGCGGCGGACAGGAGGCGTGATGGAGATGGAGGAATGCGGGTGGCCGCTCTCGGGCGTGGTAGAGATGCCATTCGGCGTCTCCAAGGACGCCGATCGGAGGAGAATATTTTTAAGGATGGTCCAAAAGATCAGCCATATTGTTTTAAAATGATTTATCCACACTTAGAGAGCGTTGGTGTGGGGCATGGTTGCGGCGTGGTAAAGAGCCTTCTTGAGAATGGAGACATCATGCTATGGTTAGAGGCGAGTGGACGAGAGGGGCAAGGTCCATGACGATATATGAAGTTTTTTTGGTCTAGCAAGGACATCTTTACGAGGGTCTTCAATAAGGACTAGAGGAAAATGCGAGTTTAATTTCTCAATATGGGGAAAATATCCGCATTTACTTGCATTCATTGGTTTGACCTTTTTCTGATCATAACATTTCTGATATAATTATCCCTAAAAATATATTTTTAAGGATGGTCCAAAAGATCAGCCATATTGTTTTAAAATGATTTATCCACACTTAATTGTCGTTGCTTTTGCGTGTGCATGTCATGGATTCGAATGAGACCTTCACCTTCTAACGTGTGCAGCAGCCGCTGTCGTACTAAGGGAGATGAGGCTCCTAAAAATTTTGGTCAAAAACTCGATAGTAAAGACGACTAGAGAGCGATCCGAAGAAGGTCACATCAAGAACTCCGCATTAGGTTTTTTCATTCGAATGATGTTTTCTCTCCACAACAATTCATCTACGCATCAAAGATGACATCGCCATTCGACCCTCTACGGCTCTACCTTTGTATAAGGAGAATGAATTGAGGAAAGTTTTGTCACTGTCGATCTCTTGGATATAAGGCCATATCATAAATATTGATACCATTTTTATCTATAATTGATCGAACTTAAGATATACTAAACCATGGCACTGTGCTAGAATTGCACCGACAGTACATTTTCTAGGATCACTTACAATAAAACAACGTCATCCAAAGCTGATTATCGGGCGGCACAAAACTATTCCTACAAAGAACTCGCTAGAACAAGCATCGCCCATACTACGGCTCTACCTTTGTAAAGTAACGATGATAAATTGATATTCACTCCGTTCTAAATTATAAGTCGCTTTAATTTCTTGATACGTCAATTTTAATATATATATATAGATCTATACTTATAATTTAATTTGAAATTTGAAATGGAGGGAGCAGGTGAGAGGCAAAGAAAAAAAAGATATTTTCTCTCCTGTGCTACTAGGCCGCAACCTGATGAAGGTACTACTAGGCCCAACAGGACTAGTGGGCCAGGACGACGATAAGGCCCGACTGTTCACGTGGCGGTATCCGTGTGTGCGTGTCCAAGCAACGACAGCGGAGTTGCGGTCCACGCGTGCAGTGGAGCCGCCGGGGGCCCGGGGTGGGGGTGGGGGTGGGGTGGGGCTCCGTCGCTCCGACCCGCCAGCCAGGACCGGATCGCGTTCAAGGCCGGCGACGTGTGCGTGCGTGGCTGCCTGCTCCCTTGGCGCGCTCCTGTTTCAGCTCATCTTCATGTCCGGCGGCACGCTAGCTGGACCTCCCAGGCTCGGCATGTCCGGCGGGGGACCGATCGAGGAAAACTTTGGACCAAGCTGGTGTTGGGCGCGTTTTTCTTCTGTCGTGCGTGCGCAGCGCACGGCAGGATCGGCGGAGCAATGCCTGCCGCGCCGGTGCCAGGGCGGCATGGAACGCGCGCGCGCCCACAGCCTGTTCGTGACCACCAGGTTTTTCTTCGCCGAGGTTTGCATTGCATCAGCAGACGGTCAGGCCACCAGGTTGGATCGGAGTCGGCTCGTCGCCGATGAAGGTGACAACTGACAAGAGGCTTTGTTTCGTTCATCTCTAAAGTTTAGTTGCTATCGGTATCGTATATTTGTACGTATGTATAGAGTATTAAATATAGATTAAAAAATAATTAATTATACAGATTACGATTATTTTGCGAGACGAATTTTTTAAACCTAATTAATCCATAATTTGATAACGTGGTACTATAGTAAAGCTAATAACAGATTAATGAGATTTAATAAATTCGTCTCATGGATTTCTGAGAACTTATGTAATTTATTTTATTATTATTATCAAATATTCTCTATATAATACCCGATGTGACATCAGATGTGATACATTAACTTTAGGACTCGATTTAAACGCCACCTCAGTCGGTACGACCGCTCAGTTTTGTCTTTCTATCTCTTATAACCCAGACCTCATCTCTTCTCTCTATGGATGATGCATGAGATATCTCTTGTTTCATTCACTGCTCGTTAAAATCACAAAAAGCAAGGCTGAAATATCTCCGATCCATCCCCTTTTATGCATGCCGTCCGTTGAAGAAAATATCTCCCGGGTTTTTGGATAAGTCTACTACATGTGAGGTTCTGAGCAAAGCGTTGCGAGCACTGACTGAACACTGAACCAGGAAACCAACAAGCACCTGCTGGCTGCTGCAGTCCACTCCAGTCCAGCTAATAACCTGCGCCAACAAATCAAAGCAGCTCCTGCACCATCATGCTCTGATCTCCATGGAGAGTTGATCGTCGCGTCGTGGTACTCATGCATATGCATCCATCCACTTTGGCACTTTGCACGTATTATATCCTCTTCCATTTCTTCCATGCTCGATCTTGTCACGCTAGTTAGCTCGCCGATTTCTTGGTTGTTCTTACCCGGCGGCGTCCGTCCACAGCTACTCAGATCACTCTCTCTCGGGCGAAACTAAATTCCGGTCCGGGGGACGACGACGATGGACATCATCAACGGCGCCGTGCTCCCGCGCTACCACGCCGCCGCCCCCGTCACGGGCGCTGCGGCGGCTTCCGTCGCCGACGCGAGGGTCAGCGGCCACCTCCAGCTGCTCCGGCGCGTGCGCCTCGGAGGAACCGGAAGCGCTTGCGCCGGGCTGCAGGCGACGACCCGTAGGTTCTTCTCCTCGCTGCCGCAGCGGCACGGGCACGGGAGGACCATCGGCTGGCCGGCTCGCTGCACCCTCGGCGGCTCCTCCTCCGACGGCGACGGCGATGGCGCCGCCGCCGCGGACTTCGACGCCAGCGGGGGAGTTCGTCGACTCCAGCGTCATGGAGGCCGGTTGGTATCCATCTCTTTTATTTCAGCATTATTAGGAGCACAGCACGTCCATTGCTTGTCTGGTGCTCAACAAAATCCGTGCTTGCTTGCCGCAGTTGAACTCAGGAGCATGTCGGACGGCGGTTTCGTCATCAAGATGCGCGACGGCAAGAACCTGAGATGCGTGCAGAACAACCCTCGAGTGCTCAGGCTCCGGGACTCGGCGCCGCACCACGCGATTGTGCTCAAGATGGAAGACGGCAGCGACCTTCTGCTCCCCATCATCGTCAGTACGTACCAGTTCCTTGCTTGCTGCTTGGATGAATAATTCCTCACTGACGTCATTAATTGCTGTTGGCAGCAGATTCTTTTGTTTCTAATTAATCTTGTTGCTTGCACGTGCTACCTTCCTCTTCCTCCTCCCCAGTGGAGACGCCGAGCATCATGTTGCTGGCTGCGCTTCGGAACATCCGAATTGTAAGAGTTGGATTTAGTTACTGCACAAACTTCTGTATATAGGTGCTCATATGCATGGTGTGTCTAAACTGCGCTGACATTGCTATTTCTTCGACTCTTTCTAGCCAAGGCCAACTATCTATAATGTGGTATTGGAGATGACTGCAAGGATGGGATATGAGGTGTGTTGGAGGAAAAAAAAACCATTGCATTGCTGCTCGATATGCTGCCTCACCGATCACTTTGGCCACGTACTCTGCTTTTCAGGTGCGTTTGGTGCGGATTACAGAAATGGTCCATGACGCATACTATTCTCGACTATATCTTGCAAAGGTAATTGCACTCCCAAGCAAGTTATATCACATAAACAATCCTTTTAGTTTATTGGTCTGAAAAAAAAAGCATGTCAACATGACACCAGATTGGGAATGACCAAGATACTATTAGTTTCGACCTCAAGCCATCGGATGCTATCAACATTGCTTTCCGTTGCAAGGTATGCATTTGCTTCATTTACTTTTCAGTACCAGATGACAATATTTGTGTGTGGACCACACCTATTGCTGATACTGAAGGTTTACCTTGTATCTTTTGGCCTAGTGACCATGTAAATTATATATACTTCGTATGAGTATAAACTATAAACCATTCAATTGGAGAATCAAAACAACATGATTCCTTTGATTGGTCAGCAAAGCAACCTCCCCGTTCTATTCTGATTTTGATGCTATAAACCTTGCTGTTGGGGGATGATATGATCCCAATACAATGATATGGATAGATAAATTCCTCTTTTAGGAATCTTACTATTACTAATTACAGACCTAACGGAGTCTTCCCCTTAATTCTCACCATATGCGCTAGAGATTTTTTTTCGGGTAAACAATGATTATGAAAAATATTAATATTCTCTTGAGGTTAGCACCGATACCCGATCTTAGATCTTACTTGAAGCTCTGTTGCAGATCTTAAGTGACACGGTGCAGATTTTAAATAACCGTCATGTCATTCTAGTACTTAGAGTGCAGTCTACGACCTAAAATTCTTATTTTCAACAAAAAAAGAAACAAAAGGAGAGTTAATAAAGAAGTTTCAGCTTAACTTGAGGATAAAAAAAAAATCTATAGCAACGAATTAGATTAAATTTGAAAATCAAAATCTAGATTCATGAGTCATGACAATAAAAGACACATGTTGCAACAAGGTCAAGAGCCGCTATGGTCTATTTCAACTACATGCAAAATACACAAAAGTGTCTTGCAATGGATAAAAAATATGGATATAAATGAAAAAAACATATTAAACAGTAGTTGAGAAGTTTATCATAACTGAGCAGTGACCAAAGAGTATCTATTATGCTGATTGTGTTAGAAAATGAACAAACAGAAAAAAAAACATGTAAATTAATATATGTAATTTTTATTAGTCATAGGTATTGAACAGCAACATATAATACTTTTATCTCCTAAGATTCTAAACGAGTTGATGCTCTAGTATAATATATGCAGACAAATTCTGTAAGTTGTTCTATTGCTCATTGGGTACGGTACTTATTCCAATTTGGTGGTTCATCCATAGGTCCCTATACAAGTTAACAGGCGTATTGCATATAACAATGGATTGAAAGTCGTACAACCAAAGGCGGCTGAGAGTTACGTAGGCTCTGACGACATTCAAATCACAAGGCTTGACAGGTAGACATACAAATTCTGTTTTTTATATATTCCTGTATGGACAAGTGTCTTCTTAAACTCTGCAACTGCAACCATTCCACTTTGCAGGCCTGATGACCAACATTGCAGTGAGGCCCAAGAGTTTGATTTGGTCCGGAATATGCTCATCGCTGCAGTGGAAGAACGCTACAAAGATGCTGGTGAGCTCCTGCGGACTTGCACAACTGCAATGTTAAAGACTGTTTTTCTTTTCAGTTTTACTTTGAGTAATCCTTCTAATCGACTGATCTCCTTCCTCCTATTATTTTTTTCCAGCTCAATACAGAGACCAACTTTCCACGTTGCGGTCAAAGAAAAAGAACGCAATATAGCAGGCCCAGGCCATTATACATGAAACATCCACAGATGGGTGCACAATTCAACTTGCTAGGCCTTGATGGGGGTGTACATAGGAGGCCTTTTGCTGAAGCACATGAAGCTTCGGCAAACATCTTAGAAGCACCATGTAAATACCTACAGAATTTATGTATAGACACACGGATAGTATAATTCTGGATTCTTTAATTAGCGCATAGTTGCAGTGATTGTACTCAAGCCCCGTTTGGTCGGGCTTCCCTGCTTAGGCAACCAAGGGTGTGGGAACCCGTAAGTACTTTTGCAACCAAAGGGGTGGGAACTTATAGGTGATAGAACTTAAGATCACCAGGAGTAGATCTAGCGGGTATAAACTTGCATTTAGGATATAGTAAACCCTAGAACATGAACTAAAACTAAGAGAGATAAAGAGTGAGATGAGAGTGGGAAGGCGTTATAGGCAACCAAGGGTGTGGGAACCCGTAAGTACTTTTGCAACCAAAGGGGTGGGAACTTATAGGTGATAGAACTTAAGCAGGAGTAGATCTAGCGGGTATAAACTTGCATTTAGGATATAGTAAACCCTAGAACATGAACTAAAACTAAGAGAGATAAAGAGTGAGATGAGAGTGGGGAGGAGTTACCGACCATCGACAGGCTTGGTGGAGGAGCTGGCCATAGTGTCGATGTAGAGTAGCAGTGGAGTCCAGAGACGGTGTGGACATCGCAGTGGAAGCGCGGTCGCAGAGGCGGCGATGAAGATGCGGCGGTGGCGGCTTCCCGTCGCTGGTAGCGCCCCCTCTCTAGACCGGCTTAGGGTTAGGATGTAGGTGGGGTTTGTGGCGGCTCAGGTGAACCTCGTGCCTTGTGCCCCAGCCTCCACCTCTTTTTTATGGCGCTGTGCGACGGGGGCCCACCAACCATAGATAGGGGTGGGCGCCCCCGATCAGGGCGCGGATCAAGGGCCCAATTGGCCGTTGGGCCAAGTTGTTAGAGATCAACCTAACATTCTCCTCCTTGATCTCAACTTATGACTTAAACTTAACTTACTTTATCTTTTTCCCATTCCATCACAGATAAGTGCATAGAGCGTGCCTCATCATCAGGGTTAATTGCCATTAGATTAACAGCTATAATGCACCTCTCTGTTTTGAAACAGATTCTCATCTAGACCCTTATTGTCCAGGAATCATAGGCTTTCCCTTAAACCCATGCCGGCTAAGTATACTCTGAACACGTTGGGTGGTAAGCCTTTTGTAAGCGGATCCACGAGCATCTTTTCTGTACTTATATGCTCAAGACTAATTATATGATCCCAGACTTTATCTTTCACAATATAATACTTTATGTCAATGTGTTTAGCAGCACCACTTGACTTATTGTTGTGAGCATAACATACTGTTGGATTATTATCGTAGTATAACTTGAGTGACTTATGTATGTCGTCTACCACTTTCAACTCGGGCGTGAACTTCTTTAGCCAATTCACCTGCCATGTGGCCTCATAACACGCTACAAATTCGGCATACATTATAGACGATGTAGTGACAGTTTGCTTTGAGCTTTTCCACGATATAGCTCCTCCTACGAGAGTGAATATATACCCTGACGTGGATTTTCTATCATCTCCCGCATAATCTGAATCTGTATACCCCTCTATGTGTAGGGAATCAGATCTTCTGTAGGTTAGCATGAGACATTTTGTGCATTGCAAGTAACGTAAAACTTTCTTTACTAGTCTCTATTCCTGGATTACTCTGATATCTGCCAAGTAACCCGGTAACAAATGCTAAGTCAGGGCGTGTACACACTTGAGCATACTGTAAACTTCCGACAGTTGAAGCATATGGAACCGCTTTTATTTGATCGATCTTATATTGGTTCCTGGGACATTGAAATTCCCCAAATCTATCGCCCTTGACTATGGGAGCATATGAAGGCTTATAATTTTGCATACTGTATTTCTTTAGAACCTTTTCTAAGTATGCCATTTGTGATAATCCTAAACCCTTCTTTTTCTCTATTTCGGTGAATCTCTATTCCTAGAACGAACAAAGCTTCACCGAGATCCTTCATATCAAACTTTGAGGACAAGAACTTCTTTGTTTCTAGTAGTAGATTAACATCACTACTAGCAAGTAAGATGTCATCCACATACAAGATTAGGAAAATGTATTTCCCATTCTTGAACTTTGCATAAACGCAATTGTCCTCTATATTTTCTTGAAACCCAAACTTTCTTATTGTACTATCAAACTTTAAATATCACTGTCTTGACGCTTGTTTTAATCCATAAATGAATTTCTTTAGGCGGCATCCCATACGTTCTTTTCCTTCCACAACAAAATCTTTTGGTTGTGCCATGTAAATTTTTTCCTCCAAATCCCCGTCTAGGAACGCCGTCTTTACATCCATATGATGTAATTCTAAATCGTAATGTGCTACAAGCGCCATTATAATTCTAAAAGAATCCTTACATGAGCCTGAAGAAAATGTCTCATTATAATCTATGCGTTCTCTTTGCGTGAAGCCTTTCGCCACAAGTCATGCTTTAAATCTTTCTACATTCCCTTTGGAGTCATATTTAGTTTTGTAGATTCATTTATAGCCTACTGTCTTGGCTCCTTTAGGAATTGTTTCTAAGTCCCAAACTGCGTTGGTATTCATTGATCTTATTTCATCCTGCATGGCTTCAAGCCACTTTGATGAGTAAGCGCTTCTCATGGCTTCTTCAAATGAGGTGGGATCACCCCCCATTTGAAATTCTTCACATTCATAAACTTCGTAGTCATCAGGAATGACTGGTTTCCTGACTCTTTGAGACCTTCTAGGGGCCTCGTTAGTTGACGCTTGTTCTATGTGAGGCTGCGGTTGCTCTTCCTCATGTGTTACAATGGATTCTATAGGATCCTGAACGACAGATTCCTCATGTTCATTCATTGTTGCCACAGGAGAACTAACAACAGGTGCTGTTACTACAGTGTCTTACACTGTTGGTACAGCAACAACAGGTAGCGTGAAGAATGGCTCTTGAAACATCAGAGTGGGCATGTATACTCGCTTCTCTTCAAGATTAATTTCTCGCACTATCATGCTCCCCCTGACCATATCATCCTCCAGGAACACAACATGTCTTGTTTCTACAAACTTCGTATGTCTGTTAGGATAATAGAAGCGATAACCTTTTGACTTTTCTAGATAGCCAATGAAATGGCAACTGACTGTCTTAGAGTCTAGCTTCTCTATGTTTGGGTTAAAGGTTTTAGCCTTAGCTGGACAACCCCACACACGTAAATAGTTAAGTGAGGGTTCCTTTCCTATCCACAACTCATATGGTGTTTTGGGCACCGACTTGCTTGGCACTCGATTAAGAATATGAATGATGGTTTTTAACGCCTCCATCTATAAACTTATCGGTAGAGTAGAGTAACTTATCATACTTCTCACCATATCCATTAAGGTATGGTTACATCTTTCAGCTACTCTATTCTGCTGAGGCTTGCCCGGTGTAGAGTACTGGGTAACTATGCCATTTTTCTATAAGAACCAAGTAAAAGGTCTAGGAACTTGGCCATATGGGTGTGTCGACCGTAGTACTCTCCCCCATGGTTGGATCTTACTACTTTAATCTTTAAGTTGTGCTAATTTTTTACTTCAGCCTTAAATGTCTTAAATTTATCCAATGCTTCTGATCTTTCTTTAATTAGATAAATATAGTGTCGGGTTCATAAAACCGGGGTCCCTCGGGGACCGGCTTCCATGCCAAGGCTTGACCCAAGAGTCTAAAAACAACAGGGCAAAGGGGCGGTCCAGCAACCGACCGGAAGGACTGGCCCACGAAGAGCAACGCCCGCTCATCAGCCACTTCGGCCCACCTATCCGACCGGAGCACTCGCTTCGTGCTCCAGCCACCTTCGGACGGCCTCTCCTATCATAATACTTGCCCCGGGCGCTACTTCTGACTCCGACCCCATGTCACTCCGACCGGGGTACGTAAGAACCCTGCTCACCGCTCTTCTCCGACTGGCGCAACCGAAGCCGACTGGGGCCATCCGACTGGGGACACCCGCTCAGAAGGGACCAGGGACAAACGGAGAAAGCAGCACACGAGTCAAACCGCGGTATAGGAACCATACCCTATACACCTGTGGGAACAGTGCTCGACAACCGCCCTGACACAAACAGTATTGTAGGCGTCGACCTTTATCCCTACAGTATTGTAGGCGCCGTTGGACTCCCGTACGGCAAAAAGCTCCTCACATGCCTCTGGGCGTCAATAGTGTTGTAGGCGCCAGGATTCACCATACCCGGTAAACGTGGTGAGGCTCCTCACATGCCTCTGGGCAAGTAGTATTTTGTAGGTACCGACATCAACCCTTCTTGAAGAAGACAGCGTAACCTCCCGTGCACCTGACATTCTACAGTGACATCAATAGTATTGTGGGTGCCTGCCATTATCCAATCCTCATCGGCGTGGGCAACAAGGCTTAAAAAACATCCGTACCCTCTCCCTCTCACCTGTAAAAACCATCCCCTTCATCTATAAAAGGGGATGCACTCCCTCCAATAGGGGACCGATGGATTCAAGCTCAGTTCCTTTAGATTCATTAGTCCAATAGCTCACAACCATAGAACCGCCAGGTTCAGACCTCAGGCACACGCTTGAACACTTAGCTCATAGCAGAGTTCCCGTCGCTCTTGGCCCTTCCGACCGGAGTCCGACCGGGCCTCTAACACCCCCTTCTCATTCCTATTCGTTTGTAACCCCACTACAGACTTCGAGCACCTAGGCTCAGAAATAAAGTCACCGACCTACCCAAACTGGACGTAGGGCACGTTGCCTGAACCAGTCTAAATCCTTTATCATTGAGTGCTAGGCCACCTCCGATCACAACATACAGCAAAACTACAA